TTGAAGTTGACATTTCAAAATTAATTATATTTTTGAATTTGAACTTTGAAGGAGTACTAGTAAGTATAAGTCACGTTATATATATAATTTATTACTAGTGTAATTTTCCATAAATTTTATATGACGTATAAAATATAAAGTGATAAACATCTTTTAATCCTTTATATTTGATAGAGTTATCAATTTAGTCTTTTAAATTTAATTTCTATTATTATTTACATGGCTGTCACTTTATCATTTTGTTAACCATGTTAATATAAACTAATGATGCTAATTTCTCTCATGAAATTAAGGACTACTTATGTAAGTTTGCAAAATGTTAAAGATTAAAATGATAAAAATTAATTTTAAAAAACCAAATCTATAACTACCCAAACACAAGAATTTGAAGTTACATTATCCGGATATGCATACATAAATTCATATAATTTTCAGAACATTTCGAGATATGTCTATATAAATACAAAGCATGGTGCCCCTTGTTTAGTTTATTTACAAGCAATTAAGATGAATAAAAGAATAAAAAGAAATTAAGATGAAATTACACAATACATGGTAAGTCTTCGCTGTATTTTCAAGTATGTGAGATTTTATATTAATTGAAAATTTATTGTAAATTGTAATTTACAATTATATTAGGCTATTTCCACATATGTTGAATTTCCAATTCTCAATAATTATATACCCCTCAAAGTGAGAAAAAGAAAAGCAGATAAATGCTATGCATTAATTATATTCATAAATTTATCAAACAAAAAGAAAAGAACAGAAAAGAAAAAACATTTATGAATGAATATGTGGAGTCTTGATTCCCTTTATTATATACGTGTGGATAAATAGATGAAGTCTTAATTCCTCGTACTATGATGGGAACAAAAATGTGTAATTGGGCTAGTTGTATGTAAGCCCATAAGCCCATATTCATGCTAAAGCCCAACCATTGGATTGGATATTTGATGGACTTACATGGGAAAAATGACAATGAAGGACCTTGTATGAAAATAATGACTTTTAAGAACTGAGGCAATTCACCAACGAGTTCTTATGCTAATAGGCTATGGTAATTTAAGCATGAGACCTTAAATTCAAGCTTGTGTCAATTTAAAAAAGTGCTTTTAGGGAAAGCTATCATAAAGGTATTTTTTTTATTGCCTGAATGGTGGAGTTATTGATAAAGGTGGATAGATACGTAGATAATAATAGTTATTAAAAACTAAGATATTTTATAATTTAGATAGTGATTGAATTGGAATTCGGATAGCTGTATGCATTTAAAAGAAAGAAAGAAAAAAACTAAAGTATTTTATTGATATATAAAAAAAGATATGAATTGAAATATTTCTATCAAACTTTTAAAAAAGTGAAAGCTCATAAAATAATAATAATAATAATGTAACTTAACTGTATGTGAAGATATAACTAAACTTGTATGAATATTCAAATTTCATTGTAGATGACACTCATTTAGGAAGGAGTTAGGAGATAAAGGAGACATGTAAAGATGGTGGATAACATACTTTGCTATAAATGGCTGTCCACACAAAATGTATGGCACTCCCTCTTCCCTCACTTGTCCTTCTTATTGCCACTGTAGGACCCTCTTCCCTCACTTGTCCTTCTTATTGCCACTGTAGGGCCCTTTACACACACACACATGAAGGTGTTGCTAGAGGTGTGGCTTTAGCGTGCGCACCATGCACACAACACCAGAGGTGTGGCTTTAGTGCTAGCTATGGTGGTAGTTGCTCTCACTCTTGCTTTGATCATTAGACAAAGATTGTTCCCGTCAAATCTCATCCTTTTTTGCTTCCTTTGAATGTTCCTCTCATTGCCAAGTGGCACTATCTCTCTACTTTTATGCATGTTCACTAAGGATAAGTGCCCTCACGCACATGTTTTGGTAAATTACATAGTTATTACTAACTAATATTGATACCTATGCATGTATAGGTACTTGGTGGTGATCATAAATGCCATGGCATGTGGGTATGCGGCATTATCATGGAATGAAGCAGCGTTGGTGGTAGGGTTGCTTGGGTTGCAAGGCAACTCTCATGTGTATTGGAACAAGGTGTGTGGCAACTTTGGGAGGTTTTGCCATCAAGTTGAAGCTCCTCCTCCTCCTCAATCAACTTGATGAAGGTTTTTTTATTGCAAGGATGTGTGAGGGAAGTGATCATGTTGTGGGGTCTTGATTAATGTTTTATTGTAATGTGTGTGTGACAGGAAAATGAATACCTATATTAGTTTAATGGATTTGGTTAGTTTTGATTGATTAAATTCATTCATTTGCATTCTTTCATGTTATACTACCTCAAATCTTTAATATAAGATAAATTTAACTAACTCTATGCTTATAAATAAATGATAGTTATATCCTTAAAATTGTTAAAAATAAAAAGGTAACTTTTAATTTTGCTTTTCTTTGCAATTAACAATAATACATTAAATCGCTGTTTAAGAATTTAAACTATAATAAATAAAAAAGAGTAAAATTTAAAAAATATTAATTATTCTAATTTTATTTTATGTTAAAGATAAAAAACTTTAAAATCTATCTAATATTTAAGACAGGAAGGAGAATGTATTTCAACTGTGTAATTCTATTACTATTAATTATCAGCCTTCTAGTGATTCACGTTGACAAGTTAAAAATATTTTTCTTCTATTTTGGAGACATGGACAAACCTCCACTCACGAACCTACCATTTATTATGAAAATTTCAGTTTTCTTTATCAATTGTTAACAAACTATTAAATCATTAAAAGTAACTTTTTTGTACTGAAATACCCTTTCATTAATATAAATATTGAATACAACAACAACAAAATATAAGGGTGGATGAGCAATTTTACTCTAAACTATAAGTTTTGAAATATTTAGGACCCTAAATCATTTTGTGCAATGTTTTTCTTTAATTTTTAAAAACATCACCCCCGTAACAAATTTAACTTTGACCATTTATTAACTACAAAATAATAAAAAGGATAATTATAGACAAAAACCAAGAAAGTCCCTTTTTAAAATTTTTGAGATCCTTTTTTATATTTTTTTTGTCAATTGACATTTGTTAATGGTAAAGATGACATTGTACCATTTGAAAAAAATTAAGGAAAATATTGCATAAAAAAAACCACTCCTAAATTAATAGTTTAAGGGTAAGTTGACCATTTAACCCAAAACAAAAATACTATTGTTATTTAATAACTTTTAGACAAATATATCAACAATAACATGGCACGCGTCAGGAAATCACAAGCTAATTGGATTTTGTAGCATTATAAAGTCGCTTAACAATAGTCTTTAATTAACCTCAATTTAAGTATTGATACTTTTTTTTTATAGAAAAACTATGTTGTAAGAGTTTTTCCCCTAATTAGTCCCATCCAATTTGAATTTAAATCAATCAATACCTCCTAAGCACTTTTAACCATCTCACTAGAATAAAAAAATGTAATTTGAAAAAAGAATAAACCAATAATTTTATTCATATTTAAATATTTTTAAAATTTGCATTACATTCTCTATCATAATTAATAAATTTAAATAGGGATAATATTTAAAAAAAATGTAACTAATAATACCACCAAATGCCTCATATTAGAGATCATCAATCTTCTTTAGAAGTTATCTTATAATAAAAACTGAGAGGAGTATAAAATATATGGAGAAAAATTTTAGAAAATAATGTAGAGAATAAGAGAGAAAATGAAAGGTCATCTTTTTGTTGGATTTTCTCTTGCTATTCACAATGTAAGTGTTAGAGGTTAGTCCTTTGAGGCATTGAAATTCCATTTAAAGAATGACATCTTTTAACAAATGCTTTCTCATACACATAATCTAGGAATCGAGCCTGGGTCACATGCTTAAAGTATAAGGAGAATGATAAGTAAGAATTTTATAAGAATATTAATATTAGATTAAAAACTTTAGTACTAAAACATGATAGAAGGAGTATTGAAATTTGAGAACGTTAGTGTTGAAAAATTTTAATTTGATATTAATATTTTTACAAGATTCTTATTTGTCATTCTTCCTAAAGGATACGGGATAATTTAATTTAAACCCCAGTCAAATGCTTGAAGAATTCAAATAATAAGGATGCATCTTTTAACAAATGCCCTTTTGGTTGATTAGATGTTATAAAATATAAAAAATAATGCTGGAGGATTAAATATGGGGAAAACTTATTGGTAAATACTTTTTGCTCATATTTGTTGAAAAACTTATCACTTTCATACCCACCCAAAATATAATTAATAATCTAAACTTTCAATTAAGGCTCAACCACCTATAATGGCAAGGTGAAAGAATTGAAATCAGATGATGTCTCTTAAAGTAGGTTGGGTAAGACTCAGTTTCGATGGTTCAATTAACAATTACATTGTTGTTGCTTGTGGTATCCTCATGAAGGACAACTAAGATAATTAAATTTAAAACTTCTTAAATACCTTGACTACCACTCTATTACAGAGGTAGCACTAATGGGTATCCTTGAAGAAATTAAAATTTATTGAAATGATAAGTTTGATGAAGTTAACATTTATTTTGACTCTCTCAAAGCTTTCACACTCATCCAACACAAATTATCTTAAAATTACCTCCTCGTTAAAATCATTAGAAAAATGAAGGAATTTGTCACGAGAAACTAAATAATCAAGTCTGATCACCTCGTTAAATAAACGAATAAATATACTATTTGGCTTGTACCTCAAGCTTTAAATAATAATTCAGACGTTAGGATTTTTTATATTCCACCTAATGAGTGTATGGATTTTTTGTATTTTGACATGATTTGATTTGTCATTATTTTGCATGAATTTTACTGTGGACCTTGTATTAACAAAAAAAATTCAAATTAACCTAATATTTATGTCACGCCTCGTCGGCAGGGCATATATATTTTTTCAGAATGAAAGTACATAAAACTCATTCCAGGCAAAAGAAGCAGGACTTATAATTTGGTTTGAACATAAAAAGCACAATCGTAGCTAAACTACTGAGATGTAGCCTCTCGATGGCAGGTCCTATTTCTGCACACTCACAACCCCACAATGATGAGTTTCTCTAACAGTTTCTGAAACCAATATTCACAAATCAAACTACCTCCTCTCTCTCTAATCATTCCAAAACCGTTTGGTTATATGCATGTGTGTGTGTGTGTGTGTGTTTACACCCACACTCGCTCGCTCACTGAGAAGTCACAAGGGATCGGAGAAATCGCGATCATCAACAAAATCGTTTTCCAATCACTGCCATGGAACGTTTCAGAACTGTCTCTGTTACACCATTGTTGCCATTAGTCTCTGATCAAGTTCCGCCTTCTTCTTCTTCTGATGAACCTGTTGTTGTTGTTGCAATGGCCGAGACGGGGAAAACCCCCGGCAAGCGTGCTAGTAGTACACAAATGGGTGGTCTAGAGAGGAGCGACCTTGTGTTGGAGCGTGATCGAAGGATGAAGATGAGTCACATGTTCAATGAGCTTCAATCCACCGTTCCTGGTCTCTTTCCCAAGGTTCGTAATATGAATAACGGGTTCTTTGATTATTTTCATTTTTCGGATCTTCGATCTTCGTTTTTATTGATGATGAGGTTCTCCCCTTTGGTAGTTTGTGTTCATTCCTGTAAATCAATCTCACAGGGTTGATGTACTGTTTTAGACAATCTTATTGCGTTTCCGCCCTCTTTCCTCAAATTTATGATCATTCTCATGTAGAATCAGAGTCTTATGATTCTACACTGAGTTAATCTTGCGAATCATAGTCTGAAAACCACGAGTTTCGCGAGTCTTCTGGGTTTTGAATGTGAGAAGACAAGAGTGTTCTTCAATCTTGATTGTTTTAGAATTCAAACTGTGTTCTCTGGTTTCTGACTCACGATCTTCACTGAAAACTGTTTATCATTTAAATTTTTTCTTTCAGGCTACGAGGGAAGTGATTGTGAACGAAACAATAAACTATATCAAAGACCTTGAGAAGAAGAAGAAAAGATTGGAAGAGCTTAAGGGGTTAATAATGGAACCAGAAGAAGCTGGAGGGAAGTTGATGCTTCCATGTTCAAGCAACAAGAATTCCTCCATCACAGTCTCTGTATCTGGAAACGTTGCCTTCTTTGGGGTTCAATCAAAAGCTCGATTTGGTTTGATCACAATGATCTTCAAGGTGTTCTATAAGCACAATGCTGAAATTTTGGCTGCGAATGTTTCTGTCAACAATGGAGAATTGACATTGGCAATCACGGCTTTGTTAGTTAATGATGATGGAAATGTAATTGCTGAGAAGATCAAGAGAGAGATTTTGGGTTTGTAGATTCAAGGTTTGATTGTTTTTTATTTTTCAATATAGTTATACACAGAGAAGAATCAATGTTGGAGTTTGAGTAGAGAGACAAGTAGCCCCTCAGTGGCAGTGAGAAATAAGAGATAAACATTAAAATTACTTTTTTGGGGGAGAAACATGAAAAATATAATTATGCATTACTCTCACAGAAGTGCAACACATTTTTTCATTTGTACTGGAAATTTATGATATGCAATGAAACAATATTGCCTTTTGTCTCTTCTTCTTCTTCTCCTTCTTCTTTTTAACTTTCAGACTACTCAAAATTTACCATTGCAAATTTATGTTACCGTCTATCACAACTTATTTATGAATATATAAAAACTCTATTGGTTTGTTAAATACTACAATAAATACACTTCAACTTGTTTCATTTCAGAGAAATCTGCCCAGAGCAAATTAGAAAATGATATTTCCTTGGTTTCAAATTATAAAATACTTTTGAAGGAATTTCTCTATCCCAAAATATAAGATTTTGAATAAATTAAAGTTTAATTAGATGTGCTAATTTCAATATGACCATTTCTTTATTTATAATTAATTTTCATCATTTTTCTTTCAATATATTAAATGATGAGTATTTTTGAAAGTTTATATTTTTATTTTAAAAAGATAAAGTAGTTAAATATATTTAATGAGGTTTATTGATGTATAAGATTTTGTTTAAAAGTATTTTATAATTTGGAAGAGAAAGTAATACATTACAAATCATTCTTGACATTAGACATACAATGGAAGAACAATATGTCTGATCTCACAAGTTCCTAAAAACTTCTTGGTTTACCACATTTGTTGTTATACTTGAACCAACGTTTTCATGATCGTGCAATAAAATATTCAGTTTATCTGTGCATTTTACTCTTAATAATGTTATATATAATTGATCATGTGTGAATATAAGTTTTGTTAAATACAATTTGATATGGCGTAATGATTGACCTTAAGATTTATTTATAGTTATTGTAAAGGATAGATTAATTGGGAATTGCCTTCATTTCACGCAAAACAACCATATACTTTTTGAAGGGTTTATGTGTATCTTACGAGTTAAAAACTTTTTATTCTGCCATGAAACATTCAATGTCATTTTTTTTTACTGCTAGGTTATAATCTTTTCAGGAATAATTGTTGAACAGAAAATACCATTCCAAATTTGAAGTATGATCTGTTGGATTAGAATTTTTTTTGGCTCTCTTTTATTACAGAATTTTTTTTTTTCTAAAATTGTATTCTTTTCCAATAAGGAAAAACTCTAATCCGTGTAGTTGGGAACGAGAATTCCACAGGAAAGAATTGGGAGAATTACTTTGTTTGACAATAATTATGTTAAATATTTTAAAACAAGAAAGTCGATGATTACGACAGCTGAAAACAAATTTCCAACAAAAGGCATCATATGGTTGTTGTTTAATTCAAGCTTTTTGTTTTTTAATTGTTGGAAGCCCCGTACACTGCATCGAGTTCCGGGGGAAAAAAATCATAATGTTTATAACTCATGAAAATTACATGTTAGAGTTTGTGTTATACACAAATATAATGATGATTTATAGAATTTGTGGCTGAGATATGATAGGACAAATGTTATAGACCTCAAGTCAAAGATGATTCACTCAAATAAGAACTAAAAGTATTCACCAGCAGTATTTTTTAACTGCAATTAAGTATCTATTAAATGTTCATTTTTACTATTAAACTAGCCCGTGGTTACTCCTCATAAATTTGATTCAGATCAAGTAGGATGTTTCTTTAAGCTGGGTAGATAAACGTTTGATGGAATATAGTGACCCTTCTCCAATTTTGAAGTGTTTAAAACTTCCCTTCTCAGTATTATATTTAGTCCCTTCCTCACACTTTATCAAGGTGAAAATTAAGAAGGAAAGAAAAAAGCAAGATATCATTCTCACGAATTATAAATTTTAATAGAATAACTTTGAATCCCTATATTTTTTTGTGTATTCTAAATCTCTATTTTTTTGTTTTTTAGTATTCTAAACCCGAATGATGTTTTAGAAACTTAAAACATTAAAAAATAAAAATATAAAGACCTAGAACATAAAAAAAAAAAGAAATACATGAACATATAATAAAACTCGAGTAAATGTAGAGACTTAAAGTAATGCTTTTCAAATTTTAATTAATATTGATAGAGAAGCACAGTAACAAGTGAATACTCCGGATTGGTTACAAAAGAAATATCAAAATAATGAATAAAAATAAAGGGAAAAATATAAATAGATTCAAGTTTATCACGAAGAGATCAACTGTCTTGACAAGGAAAGGACCTCAGCAGAACAGAGAGTGACAAAGACAGGATAACAAACTATCACAATTCAGTGATAGTCATAATGAATTGCAAAGCATATGCCTTGCAATGCAAGCATTGTGTTTTGATTAAATTCAATGGCAAACACAAGTATCACTACAATCCAATTTAAATACATCATCATCATTAACAAGTACCGAAGTACAATTGCTGGCAATTCACCATGAGGATGAAGTGAATTCCCCCCAGAAGCACCATACGCAATTCATTCACTTCATATCCAGCGAAGGACAAAATTATTGAATCAGAACAATCTACAACGATGGGGATGGGGGGTAATTACTTTAAGAATATGGAGGTCAGTGAGGAAGAACAGGAGGAGCAATTGTACGAGTATTGTATGAGCTGCAGTGACCACATTTTTGCCCAATAATGTGGAAGTAAACTTCAGTTGTGTCATTGCAGTCATTGCACAGTATCCAAACCTGCATTACATAACAATTTATAATATGTCATATTATTCACAAACAATGAAACATACAATTCATTCCGTTAACTAGACAAAACATGTCTGGTTCAAGAGAATTGTGCATGCTAGCTCTTTCAGAAGTTCTACCAAGAAGCAAATCTCAAGAAGTTGAAATTTACATGTGCCCTGATATGTACCAAGTGTCATGGCCACATATTACACAAGTTTAAAATCATGAACATTTTCTTATTTACATTAATTTAGCATGGTTATCCTACTCACTGCTGGATTGTAGAAATCTAAAATAAATGGTAAAGGACAGTGGTTTAGAGAAAAATAGAAGTGGACGTTGGATACATATATATATATATATATATATTCAAAGAATATATGTTACCTTCCTGTCCCGATAATCTTCAGGCATGACTGTTTCTTCTATCTGATATTAGCATAAATGAAGAAGAAATGAGACAGTGACGTCATAATAAAAATATGATATTTCTGTAAGTAATATTCTTGACAAAATAATTGCATGCTAAATGTCAAAAGAAAAAAACATTTCGTCCCAAAAGTTTAAAGCCTGACTATAATTTTATGTAATCTCTATCACATCCTTTCACATTGAACTTGAAGGAGTCATTGATCTTGGGTTTTCTGAGTTGAAGAGGGTCCTTCACACCATCAAAGGCATGCAACTAGGGCAAATGCATCGACAGACTTTGATATAAGAGGTTACCTCTTCATCAATTCTCTTCCACGTACTGGACATATCGATCACTGACTTGGAGCATATGGGACAACAGAACCTGAACCATGAGAGCAAATCAAGTTCATATTAACGGGTAGAAAATGTTTTCATAAAACGAACACCAAACAAATAAGTAATATGCTCACTTGTCACGCTTTATCATCTCTTGATAACAATCACAATGCATCGTGTGACCACATTTCATCACAGTAGTGTCTTTCAATGAATCAAAAAGGTACTGCACAAACACAATAAAGTCACACCAGAGTATTCTCAATTTCCACCTCAAGGTACAATGAAATTTCCCCCTTGATTGGAAACTTGAGCTACGACGGTGGAAAAGAGGCACACACCTCATAACAAATTGGACAGTGATGCCTCATAGAGTTTTCTACACAAGAATGATTATCACGAAGGGCAACTGAATAGCAGGACCCTGCAGCATATAGAACATTTTTTCAATACAGAAACCCCCAATAGAAATGTGTGCATTGAGCAATCTATTTCTAGAATGATTTTTTTTTTTTAATTTGTTCTGCCCAGCCGTGCACATATTAATGGACTCTACTCACAAACAAGTGAAAATAACCATGAAAACATTAGAAACTCTGAATCAGTCTTTGCACCTTGAATATTGAGTAACAAATGCTGATTTGTAAGCTTATGGATGTTGAGCCTACATAGGAATGCCTCTTTCTAAAATCAATTTTTGTCCCCAAAATGGATTTTGAAAAGTTGTAATAAGGACAGGGGAAGATATGGACAGCAAAATACTTCACATGTTTGGAAATTTGGAAGTCTGAATCAAGCTATGAACAATGAGTTGCCCTTGAGCACAAATTATTATTTGTAATGAAAGAAGATAAATGAGTTGGCCCTTAAGCCAGGCTCATAGGAAATAATTAACGTTTACTGAACTAGTGAATACTGAGAAACAAAGGAGGCAAAGCCATGAATCTGCTATTAATACTTGAATGAACAATTTTAAACCATAGCCTTATGTCAAGGAAACAATTTGTCATGCCCAAATGAAGAAGCAAGCAATATTGGAGGTGTGGTGATGAATACATACCACACTTCTTGCAGTGATAATAATTCTGACGACCACCGACTCTGTTTCCAATGACAAATAATTCATCATTTCCAAGAATTAAATCAATGTTTATGAATTCATAACTGAAATGAGAGCCTAAAAAGACATGTATACTCTAACAGAGATTCTTTAGAATTGGTGAGTAAAAGATAAGTAGACGGTGTCAATCATGAAGATACACATACACAAGTTAGATATCCTTTATGGTAAACTCGTATGTGTTCATGAATAGATTAGCCAACACATTTTTTGTAAACCTGATCCATTTCAAAGGCCCCAGAAAAAAAAAATCTCAACACAAACACATTCAACGCACCTACAGATCCCACAATCGTCGCAATGAAACTCTTGTTTCCCAGTCTGCATGACAAAAATCAGCGTCGTTCATAAAAGGATAAGATCAAAGATAACAAGCATGATTACAAGCCAAAGTGGAGGAGGATCAATCATATTCAAATTGCAATTTAATAGGAAGATTTATTTAATGAACCATTACATCGTCATCGAAGAATTTGCAGATTTCGCAGAAATATTCACCCATCATGACGCCACAGTTTGTGCAAACTTGAGCAACCTTCAATGAATAAGTTTAGAAAAACAAGAAGAATTAAAACCCAATCGTAAATAATATAAAACCAATGTTCTCGATCAAGGATCAAAAAACAAAAAGAATACATACTGGCTGCTCTGTGTCGCAAACTGCACAAACAACCTGTAACAGAAATGGAATGTAAAAACGGCATGGTTATCATCGTCTTTTACCAGTAACTCATACAAAAGAAAGCACAAAAAAAAAAAAGATATTATTTTCAATAACCGAGTATCCAGAGAGTCACGAATTCACCCTACTTGTTCAACATCTTGGCGTACTATTTCATGCCGATCATAGATATTCCTCAACATGCTCTAAGAAAACAAAAACGAATCCGGATCAGCCAAACGCAAGAAACTTGAGCAGAGAATGAAGGAAAAAAAAGAAAGAAAGGAGAACATCGAGGAATACCACTGCCTCGTTATGACAATGACGACACCAGTAAATCTCATTGCAACAAGGAGCTCGAATCATGCATCTTCTCCTATAATGTTTGCACCTATCAAATAAACATCCAAAGATCAACAAATAAGCAATGCAAACAACATCGACAACAACGAAATCCATCAATGAACAAAAAGCAAATGCGATAGGCTCCGATTGATTAGTACCCGTATCCCATCTTGCCGAAGTGAAGGCGTTCATCGGCAGAGCCTTCCATGAGATTTGGAAAAGAGGCAAAAGGGAAGGCTCTGATTGAGGAGGGAAGGGGAAGAAGAAGAAGGAGAGAGGGGTTTCCTGACTTGGGAAGAAGTGTGGGATTGGATTGTCGTGATCCTCAAGGAGGAATGGAGCCATTATGCTTAAAGAACAAAGATCCTTTATCATGAGATTATTTTAATGGCAAAAATGCAAGCGTAGCTGCTGCAGCAACAACAATAAATGGATGATCACTAACATGCCCACTTGTTGGGGACGAAAGAGAGAGAGAGAGAGAGAGAGAGAGAGAAAGAAAGGATAATATGGTGGGCTTGCCTTGCGAGAAACAGATTGCTTCCGCAACAGAGAAAAGGATTACCCGCCGAAACATCAGCGAATAAATCGATTGCACTGATTTTTATTTTTATTATTTTTTTATAAAAGGATAAAAATGTTCATAAAATAATAGAAACAGGTATATTTATATGATATATAAGTGAGTGTAAAAGTGATTAAATCATTAACTTTAATTTAATATTATTAATTTTGATCATTAAATACTGACTATGCATGTCACGTATCAATCTTTACTGACGTGGACTAATAAAAGGATAAAAATACTTATGAAATCATCGGCTAAGAGCAAAAATATACATAATGTTACCAAAATTGGCACAAAAAAGACCAATACATCTAATCTCTTAAATGTTGATTATTTAGTTGATACTTAAGTTAAAATTGACTTTTTTTTTGTTGATGTAGAAAAAAAATATTTCGAGATAAATTTTTTACGAATGTTGATCGATTATCATATGGATACCCATAATGTTACTTTAATAGGTGGAAGAGTGGCCAATCTTTCAAAATTCATGCAACATGATTTTTTTTATTGTCACATATCTTGCCCTCTCCCTCCCTCTCTCTTCATTCATTTTTATTGTCTGTAAAACTTGAGATTCAACATAATGAGATAGGTTGTACACAATTAAAAATCAAGACTGAGCATACCTCCTACGTCGCCCTACCTTAAGAAACAAGTAATTTAATTTGATATTCGGTCAAATAGTTTTCACTACTACTGTAAAGAAACAAACGATTTAATTTAATATTTTGTCAAAATGAAACTCCTCACATGATGTTCATACAATGAACCATTAACCTCCAAAAATTTTATTTGGAATATTTTTTATCCATATCAGTGAAAAAATTGTCAACTTTTGCGTAGGCGTCAGTTAAATAGTCAACATTTAAGTGATTTGAGTAATTAATCTTTTTTACACCAACTTTGGTAACGTTATGCTATTTTTACTCTTGACCAATGACTTTTTAAGTATTTTTACCCCTTTATTAGTCCACGTCAGTAAAAACTGACATGTAGCACGTACAGTTGACATTTAACAATCAAAGTTAACAGTATTAGGTTAAAATTAATGATTTAGTCACTTTTACACTAACCTATGTAATGTTATAGATATTCATGCCGTTTTCCTCACTTTAGGATATTGGGTGTCATTGACTGACCACTTTGTGGGTGTTTTTATCTCTTTACCCTTTTTTTAAAAAAAAATACATACAAGTCTAAAAAAAATTAAATTAATATAATTAAATTTTGAATATAGTTTTTAAAAATTTAAATTAAAAATATCAATTTAAATAATTATAAATTTTAACATTTCAATTACTGATAAAATATTTAAATTTTAAATGAAACTCTTAAATTATAATTAGACTTATTTTAATTTGTATAAATTATTATTTACAACTTATTTTTAAAATATTTTAAGATTAATTATGTTTGTATTTAAAATTATTGAATAAATTTGTGATAAAAATATAAATAATTTCATGTAAATTAAATCTTTTAATCAAATAAATAATAGATTGTCATTATTGGAACCCACAATAATTGAGATTCTATGTATCCATGTACGGAAAAGACAATGCCAAAGCGGAGATCTGATCTGAAAGTTGAAAAAATATTTAAGAGACAAGAAGATGGAAGTTACCGCGATCTTATCAACACCTAAAATGTCTTTGAATCCCACGTGTCATGGAATATCTTGGCACTATTTTTTTTTCTTTTTTGTTTTTTTTTGCTTTTTTGTGGCTCAATTACTCTCGGGTGGAAATTATAAAGAATTTAAAAATACTTGCTTTTCATTTTACATTTTAAATAAAAAAATAAAACTTTGGACTTCCTCCATTGAAATGAGTGTTTTTTTTTAAAAAAAAATAGTTATATTGTTGATCTCTATGTAGTGTCATTTACCTCCCGATTTAGTAATTTTTTTCATATAATATATATATGTATATGAGTTAATTTTATTTTATTATATATATACTTTAAACTTTTGCCTGCATAGTATATATTGAATTCAATATATTAATACAACTAGATCACGTGGCATGTGTATTGAAAGAATTCCACATATTGATATAGTAATTCATTATTTCTACTTGTGAAAATGCAGTTTTTTGCAAATGTAATATGTGAGTTTGTTGTTCTTTGTTTGAGTGATGAAGTGCATGTTTGGATTACTTGTTAATTGAGGTTAGAGAGACTCTAACCTCAGTTGAGATAAAAAAGGCTCATTAAAACATGTTTGGATAAAAAAAAATTTGAATGAGCGTTGATTGCGAAGCCAGATGAGGAAGCTTTTTTGATGCATGTTATGAACGTTGGCTGGGCATTTTGTCAGATTCCTCTCTCCAATTCATATTCTCTCACCTTACCTGCGCATTCTTCACTTTAATAAGCACCAACCGTTATTTCCAACACTGTTGCCGTTAATTGTATTAGCGCTAGTCACAGTTACCATCTATGGAGGTTGAGGATCATCGTGTCTGCTCCATCTTTGTTGCTTTCCTTCATTCATTGAGGTAGAGAGGGAGACGATAGATCCACGGTAGTGGGGAGAGGGGGAAGCAGATGGAGGAAAGGAGTGTAGAAGGGAGATAAAGTTGAAAGGGTTTGTGGAGACTTTGCAAGATAAGGAAGAAACAAAGAGCTTAGAGGAAGAGAGTAGGAGAAGGAGGAGGAAGAAGGTGCTCACTGTGACACTGTGTATGTTTTTTGAGTGTGCATGCACGGCGCTCAGCTTTGAGGAGGAAGAAGATAATTGTATTGTGTTTCATTATTTAATATTTAATTATAATTTATAAATTAAGACAGTAAAGGAAGAAAAACAATTAAAATCTTGTTTCATTATTTAATTAAAATACACTCCATTTAACATAACTTTATTTGTGAAACATTAAATAGAGGGAGAAAATATAATAAGATTAGAATGAAATAAGATTTGCACACTAAAATTAAATTGTAAATAATATGAATTCAATATTTTATAATTTATGAATTTATTTTATCTTTTTTGAATATTTCAAATTTTATTATTTAATTCTACCTTTTTAAAAATTAAGATATTTGACTTATTAATGTATTTTATATTTGTAATTTAATTTTTTAAAAATTGTAATTTTAAACTTAATATCTTTTTCCTAAAAATATCAAATTAGTCAGAAAAATGTATATAACAAAACTCATATTTATTTTTGTCATTATTCATTTCAACTGGCTTTTCAATCAAATCATCTAAACAAATTTCAATTTGCTCAACTAACTTTAAAAAAAAAGTATTCAAACATAAATCATGTTACTTTTTTCCTAACTTCAGTTGAATCATAACCTCAATTGTGAATTTTTTAATCCAAACACACTTGAAGTTTCTTTGATTAAAAAAATAAATCATTTCATAAAATTTTTAGAAAAATTGCAAAATACATCTTATATTTTTTTCTTATAAACATCAAATTAGTAAGTGTTACTAGGGTTTGAAAAAAAACAATTAGTAGTCACATGTATCCTTCTTCTAATGAAAATAATCTTGTTCAAATTATGACTGAAAACTAACTGTCGCACCCAGAAAAATGCAATGTGGACGGCGCACGAGCGGAGGTCCCGGCCTTCGCGGCGGGAATCGGATGAAATGAGGAGTCGCCACCGAGATTTTGAGGTAAATCTCGGGAAACCGATTAAAGGGAGGATAAGGGTGGTCTGCGAAATCAGAGAATAGGTTTGAGAGTCGGTTGAGTGTGGGGAAGGTATTAGGCACCCCACAACACTCGTTCGTCAGAACGGTTACCTAAAGTTTGTTGTGCTTTTTTAATATAGTTTTATAATTATTTTAATTATCCCTTTTATATTCATGTGTTTGATATAAAAATGATAAGATTAGGTAAAAAATATTTATTTATTTGGGAGGACGGACTTGACTTAGAATTTGACTCTGAGGCCTACGTACCCTGTGATGGGGATCAAAGTCCACGTAGTTCGGGCTTAAAAATTTGTTGGTGAAAATACTTTTTGAAGGAAAATTAATTAGAAATAATTCACCATTTTGCAAATAAAACAATTTCTGAAATTTTGATATGTGTGTTTTAAATTGTAAAAGGTGATTTAATTTTAATTATTTTCTCCATTTTTAAATTTTTGGAATAAAGAAAGAAAAGGGTTTAAAATTATTATTTTTTTTATGTTTTATGATTGAGAATTTTAACTGCTATACCTGCAGAGCCTTATTAGTTCATACGGTAATGCAATTATTCTAAGTATCTACGGAGGTTCTGGAACCTCACACGATAAAAGAATTTAGCAATTTAATTTATTTATTTTTAAGTGTTAATAATAGTTTGCTTAAGTATGTATATATGTTTTTAAAGAATTTTAATCATCATACCTGTATAGCCTTATTGGCTTATACGGTAATATGATTTATCCTAAATATCTGCGAAGATTCTAAAATCTCTCACGATAAAGGAATTAAATTTAATTAATTGATTTAATTAATTATATAATATATATATATATATATATAAAAATTTAATCGTTATATCTGCAGAGTCTTATTGACTTATACGATAATACGATTATCTTAGAAGTCTGCGGAGATTAAAAATCTCACATAACTAAAAGATATAATCGGTAAATGTGATTACTACTTAAATTCAGTAATTTGATTAATTAATTTTTCTAAATTGTGTATTACATGATTATTTACAAAAAATATTTATTTATTATAAAAATTGATAATAACTATATTTGTGAGGACTTATTATCCCCACGATGATGTGATTAATTTAAATCTCTACAAAGATTTTTGAAATCTCACATAAATTTAAATATATTATTAATTTGGGTTATAAAAAAGAAAGTTAAATTTAATAATGGGCCTTTTGAACCCATATTAACATATAAGTTTTACTCTCATATCTGCAAACCTTATTGATTTATATGATACGAGATTATCCTAAATATCTGCAGAAATACAAGGTCTCACATGATAAAAAGATTAAATAATATTCACTTTGAATATATTTTAATGCGTAATTATACAACGCATATTTTTAAACATAGAAATCTTAATCGTTATACCTGCGAAGCCTTATTGAATCACACGGTAGTACGATTATCCTAAAGGTCTACGGAGTTTCAAAAATTTCACATGACCAAAAGATATAATGGGTAAATATAATTATAATTTAAATTCATTAATTTAATTAATTAAAATTATAAAAAATGTTTTTTATTTAATTTACAAAACTCATTTATTTATTTACTGTATAAATTGTGAATCACAATATCTGCGAGGATTTATTATCCCACACGATAATGTGATTAATTTAATTCTCTACGAAGATTCTTAAAATCTCACGTGAGATTTAAATATTTATTATATAAAAAAATTTAATAATGGGCCTTTGAATATAAATGCCTACAAGATTGATCCTCGTACCCACAAAATCTTATTGATTTCCACGATAAAGGATCATTTTGTGGGGATTTAAATTTTTTATTATGATAAAAAAAATTTCTTATGATATGGGTTGTTCAAAAACACATTCATTATATAATCAAGATTTTTAGCTTAAGAGAATCTAATTTGTAAAAGTATGTTTGAGTTTTAATTATAGGCGGCCAAAATCAAATCTATAGTGTGATATATCCATCACTGTATCTTATAACAAGCTATGCATACATTGAGATTAGGAAATGATATAATATAAGGCTGATATAATATAAGGCTGCATGAAGTTATGAAAAACTTGTATTAGAACCTGTGCAGAATGAAGTTGATGGATCTTTTTGCAAGTCCTTAAGCTCCTTCAAGATGTGCTTCGAAGCCATATCACTTCCTCCAACTGATGGACCGAATCAGAACCTGCGCAGAATGAAGTTGATGGATCTTTCTGCAAGTCCTTAAGCTCCTTCAAGATGTGCTTCGAAGCCATATCACTTCCTCCAACTGATGGACCGAATCAGAACCTATGCATTGCTGGCAACCGAGCCCACGTAACTGAGGGAGAAGAAGAAGATAATCTCGTTCAGTACCCACGTGCACATGCATGCTCTGTTTCTTCACATCAGAGTACTCCATCGCTGTCCTCTCACTCCCTCACTCTCCTCTTTTATGCTTTGTTTCTATTCTCCTCTCTCCTTTCCAGTTTCGTTCCATCTCTCTCTTTTCTTCCTTAGACTCACCTCTCCCTCGCGTTTTTGCTGTCTCTTTTTTCCTTTCGTCTCTCCTCTATTTTTTTTGCTTCTCGTGCTCTTTTCTTCCTCCTCTTCTCGGTGCTCTGCTTCTCATTTCTAGCTCTCTTTTTTCAGTTTTGAATCAGTGCTCCCTCCTTTTCTCTCTTCTCTTCCTCTCCTTTTCTACTTTCGTCCAGGTTCTTTGCTCCTTCTTCATGCTCTGTTTTTCGTTTTCTCGTCCATGTGCTCTCTCTCTCCTTCAGTTTTTCTTCCCTCCGTCTCCTCTAGTTTTTTTTTGGCCCAGCCCCTGTTTTTCTTCAGTTTTTCCCAGCCTCCTCTCTTCGATTACCCAGCTTCTCCTTATATAGAGAATGGAAAATGTGAATCATTACTCTCCTGCTCTGCTTGTTCTTCGTTTCTGCCTCTGTCTCTTCTCCTTTTTTTGTGCTATTCCGTCTCTATTTTTTCTGCATTTCTGCCTCTATTTCTTCTCACTTTTTCTGTGTTGTTCCATCTACTTTCTCTGCTGTGCCGTCTCCTGCATGTGTGCGTGCGTCCTTGGTTTTGTTTCTTTTCTCCTGCTAGCCGAAAGCATATGCGTACGTGTTCCGGTTGCTTGCTGTTTTTTTTCTGCTCTGTTTTGCTTCTTCTGCGCCCAGCCGAAAGTGTACGTGCGTGTTCTTTTTCTGCATGCGTCTCTGACTCCTTTTCTTTGCATGTGTGTGTGCTGTGTTTCTCCGCTCGTGTTTCTGTTTTCTGCATGTTTCTGTTGTGTCTTCTCTGATATTGCCGTACGTTGCTGCTCTACTTCTTTCCTTCTTGTTCTTCACTGGCTTCGTCTTCCTCTAACTCTGAGCACTAAATTTTGGAACCAATGGGTTAAGATTTAACCCATTGGTTTATATATATATATATATATATATTTTGAAGAGAAAAAAAAATCTATAATCCTTTCTTCTCTCTCTTTTTTTTCTTTTAAAATCCTGTTTATTAATTTAAAAAAAATTAGAAGAGAAAAAAAAAGAGAAAAAAATCTAATTTGAAATTAAGCAAGTATGTATTTTTTTAGAAGATAACAAAATTTAAATAAAGAAATTCAAAAAAAGTTGATTCTCAAAAATTAACTCCTAATATTTTAAATGGTTGGGATAATTTGAAGAGGAATTTTAGAAGATTTAAACAAGATTTTTTTTGTTAAAATATAATCCTAAAAAGGATTAAATTTTATTTTTATATTTTTATATTTTTTTATTATTTATTATCAAATTTTAAAAAAAATGCCCGAATAAAATACGATGTTCACACTGACTGTATACACATTTTTTAATAGAAATTCAAATTTTATTTGTCATATTATAAAAAATTAATTCATTCTATTAAATTCAACTCTCGTTAAAAAAAAATTTATATTTCTATATACAAGGATAGAAGATTGTTGTCAGTTACAAATTCCAAATTTTTTTATTTTTAGGCCAGCCTAAACGCACTTGACCAATTGAAGAAATTTTTCAAGTATTAACTAAAGAACAATAATTTTCTAATAATAACAAAAAAAAATTGATAATTTGTTTGATATTTAATACTATACACTAGACTAAAACTTCTACGCAGTTTTGACATGATTGTTAGCAAAGATTTCCCTAAAAGCCGGACAATTGGTGTTTCACAACTCAACAGCACTATCACATGACTAGGTATTAAATATTTTTTCCCCCACATGCTCTGCTTTTAATGAGCAATCTGATAGCTATAGCCGAAAAAGGAGGAGAGGAGAAGAATCTGCTAGCAAACACAAGGAATTTCGCCTAAAAATGTAGTCCCTGACATATTTACAAAGACGAGAATATACAGAATTTGTTCGCTTTTACTATTTACACAAGCTCCTTTAAGTTCTGACAGATCTGTACAAAATTCATCCGCTTTATGACCCATTCATCTGTCAGGATCCTAAAGAAAGCATAAATAAATCATTCACAAGTATGTTACCTCCTCAGCAGATCTCTTGCACAAACCTTGCTATGTACATCATATGTAGATTCAATCAACGCTAACACGCTTTCCATGGATTTCAACCTTGGAACTCAATTCAAGAGGGGAAGCTGCAAGTTCCCTGGAAAATATTAAGTCTCCATCTTGATCTCTCTCACTATAACCCAGAACATGAGGATCCATCATAAATCTGCATGCTGGTGTCTCTGAGTGCATTGTAACGCCAAAATAGATTAAGTGGTCTGAGATACTATTCCCACTCACTGACCTGCATGGCCATATGAAGTTTTTATCACTACTTTAACTATTCTCTCTAGTATTTTGTCTAACAGCTACCTATGCAAAATAGCTAAAAGCTCCCCCCACAAGTTGATCATTCATACATCACGCATACAAATAGAAGCAAAATTTTACAGGTTTTATGATTTCAATGACATAGTGACCAAAAAAAAAAAAAAGACTTACATGCTACAAGATGGATCTTCACCAGATCTATCACAAATTCTCTCAGCTTTATAAACAAGACTTCCAAATCTCATACTATAAAGCCATACCTGCAGTTCACAATAATTCCTCACTTTTATGAACTGGAAAATAAATTAAAAAGATATGCCGCACCTTAGTCAATTTCCACTTTAAACCAAGACAATAGATCATAAGCAAACAGCATAGACAACATCAGAAAATTTCATGCTTTACAAGGAGCAAGAAAGAATATTGATAAAAGATCTGAGAATTTTAGAATCCAAACCCTCTCCCATTGCTGGACAGTGGACAAGCCCAGCAGATTTGATGAATCAAACCTAAAATAGGTATGAAATTATATTGTCATCACAAATTAGCACACTGGCAGTATTTCTGATTTTACATGATCAATGACAGCCAAGTATACAATAGTGAGCTCGCATGAATCTTGATAGCCATTAGTTCAGCAGGAGGAGACAATTGGAGATGTTTGAGAAATAGCAAGAGCTAATATTAACACTAAAGAGGTATACTGCATGTAACATAGTCATTCTTGATATTTGATATTTCGACAGACAACCAACCATGGCATTACAGGTTTAATGGGAAAATTCTATCACTTCAATCATTCAATATACCATGGCATACCTCTCTTGGGAAGTGGTGGTATGTCTTGTGAGGGAAATAAGAATAATATGGAGGCAAATGAGGAACAATATCATGCTCATTTGTGACTCGGATTGTCTTTGGCACAAGTTGGCTATAATAAGATGCAAAAGGAGCATTGCCAACACGAGGTTGTCCAAATGTCATAACCTGAACATCCTGCGCATTTTCATTGACCTGTAAACATGCAAAAGAAAACAAATACGCCACTTCATCTTAATGAAACAGGACAATCATAAAGTGAAAACATAAAATCATGGTCCAGGAAAAACATTACAATAAAAGAACTTAGCTTCAGCACTATTCCATTATTACTTCTGAAACAAAATCACATTTATTAAAAAGTTGAAATCTACGTTCGACAGTAAAATCCCATCACAAACATAAGTAAAATCTACGTTCGATAGTAAAATCCCTTTGCACCTTAGGCGCTGAGGCAAGGAGCAGAACAGCCTCATCGCCTCTCATGTGAAGAGAGGCGATGGGTTCACTCAGGCACTCAAAGCGTGCCTTTGGGACTTGGTTGATATTTCCTGGAGTATTTATTCATAATGTACAACATGATTGCTACTTTTATCTATGTTTTCTTCATATGACACAAGTTTTTGGAGTATGAAGGTTGAATAAATTTACAATTAGCGTTTTAAATATGATGTGTTGTCTATACATTATGCATTTTCACATGGTAGTGCCTTACTTCAATCGGGCATGTGCCTTTCTAGTGCTTTGAAACAAACGCGTTTTACTAGCCTTGTGCCTTTCACCTTTAACAACAGACAAACCCACTTTTCAACAAATGCAACAACTGTTTCAAACGAAATTGGATGCCCCTACTTGAAAGCAAAACACAGACTAACCATGCAAAGGAAGTAAAGAGAACTTGAAGCCATAAAACAGCATTTCTTGATTCCTGGTCAAATAAAAAATCCTAAATTACAGTTACCATTAAATCAAGCCCACAAAACGCTGCCATCGCCCCTCCCATTGAATGCCCTGTCACAATAATCTGAATATCTCCATAAAATTTCTTTGCTCTTCTAACAGCATCTAAAATTGCTGGACGCAAAGTTGTATTATGGTATGCATAATAAAATCCATAGTGTACCTGAAGCAAATAATAATATATCAGAAATGGCAGTCCATACTTCAAAAAATAAATTGAACTCAAACTTTAACAAACACACCATTGCATCAGGCATGCCTGGATAATTTATATCAAGCTGCTTCCAAAATAAGTCTTCAATCCAGTTCCGAATGCTGTTTACAGCCATTATATGTACAAATGAGCTCAATCTAAGAAAATTTTTATTTAAATGTCGTTATGGACAAAACTTTCATCAGGGAAAAATAACACTCTCTGACTCTCAAAGGTCAGTATATGAGAAAATATGATCTCTTTGCCACACAATAATCTATAACTTAATGGCTCAACATGACAAATTTAGTACCATAAAATTGTCATGCCAGGTAAAAATTTGGATGCAAAGCTTATCACTACCGCAGGCTTCACCAGGACACTTAGTCAACACTACTTTAATGAGTTTCACGGCCAATGCTATGTGAATAGTAATAAATTGCAATCAAAGATTACAAAATTAAGTGCATAACTTAACCAATGTATGCATGCATATAATAACTTAACTGTTCATTAACAAATAGCACATTGACGAGTACATATGGGTAAGAAATACTATACATAAAGTTGCAAGCAAGCTACATTCTTTCTTTGTACTGAACTCTGCTGGAAAGTGACATCTATAACCCAGAGCTTTTATTTTGAAGTTCATCCAAAGACCCAAACATACCTGCGTTCCTGAGTTCCTCTGAATGCAATGATTATGGCCTTAGGATCCTTTGCCACTCCAACAAACCCCTAAAACAGGTCAAATACACAAGATATGAAGATAACATGCATCCATTATAATGTAACGAAACAATTTAAGAGAATATAGGAAACTGCATAATTTATAATGAGCAGTAATGCTTCTGTGATGAGAAGGCACCTGTAAGCAATGCTGAACGTCGACAACCAACTCCATAATTTCAAATCCCTGTTCAATTAAAGACCTTCAGGCAAACAAACGTAGGGCCAGACTAGCATATTATTAACACTAAAGTGATTCAAAATTCATTCAGGCACTTATACCAACGCATGACACAATATTTACATTCTCAGCACCTTGGTTAAACCATTACATCTGGAGCAGGTCCAAGTAAAAAGTTCTGTCAAATCTGACACGTATACCTGCAAGGATACAACCCTTCAATCCTCAAACACAACTCACATAAAATTCCTAGAACTTTTTCTGACATGCAGGAGTCTAACCCATACATGTAAAACAACATTAGGTACACAATGCAAATTCAAATTAAGCTAAACTGACACACTTCAATAGCCCTAAATTGATTCCTTTTGGCCCATAATCTAAGCAATACTTCCATCCATCAGGAACAGCCAGTGAGATGAGATTGTCCCTTCATTATAAGATCATTTCATTGTTCAAAAGCATGATTACAAATATGATTGCCTCTTTCTTTCTTTCTGTTTTTTTTTTTTTTAACAGGAATTCCTTACCTTGACTTGATCCAACAACCTCTATGTAAACCACCAGCCACCCCAACCACTAGAGCTCAACTAGGCCCGGCATCAAGAATCAATAAATATATAATGATACAAAAGACGAGCTTTGAACGTGAAACATTCACAAGGAACTGACCGCAGAAGCATATTCCACTAATATTGTGGCTAGTGTATGGTTGTAGAAAGCATGATGACTTTTCTGCTTAGCCTTGAGTTCTGAAAATGAAAACGGCAGAAATATCAGAACGTAAATACAAGTTCCACACATAAGTACAATAATTTTATGGTGTCCATGTCCGTCCCCCCCCAAAAAAAAAGAGGCATATCTCTATATCTTCTCTGATCTGATCTTGCCAGAGTAAAACAAAACAGTTTCTAAGAGGATTGATCAACTTCCCTCACTATTTTTAGTATAATAAATTAGGTCCTTCAATCTCCTTGAAATTTAAAAGAAAAAAATTATCTTAGGCCCATATCCACAAAAAATTAGTTCTACTATAGGCGGGAAAACACCCCCAAAACTTGGCCATCTCCATAAATTCATAAGTATTTACATCGTACAATCAGTAACAGTAATATAGTATGATTCAGAAGGATGCCGATCATCAATGGGTGCAGAAGGACATAAAATGGAAGAATTGATAAAAAAAAAAAACACACACACACACACGACAGGAAACGTTAAAAGCTCCACTCTTACCTCTTCCATTCGAGAGGGCAAGCAGACATAAACAGGTAGCTATTAATAACCATGAAGTTTTCCCCATGCTCTGCAGAAGCAGGATAAATGCAAGGTAACATAAATTAATCCAAAACACTCAGTCCAATCAATTTCAAATTGCCAAAAAAAAAAAAAAACAAATCAACATCAACATCAAAATATATAACGTTACGGCAAACTAAAATATGAATATGTAAAACTGACTTACCCACGGTAATTGAACGCCGACGACGACTGGAAGTCTGGAATTTGCCTCGCCGTCTTCGACGATCCCCTCCGCGCCTTCAGGTGCAAGCAAATCTACGTGTAAATTAAAGGGACGACTGAAAATAATAGAAGTCTTCGCTTCGCGCGTTCAATAGAGAGATGACGATGATGAGAATAAAAAGGTGAAAAACAAATTATCACAGAACAAACGCAACGTCGCTGTTATTGTTATCGTTAGGCTAATTACACGAAATTCCCCCTCTAAACTCTGCTCCATCCGTATGCATGATTATCTCTGAATCATAAACTGAATTTTTATTTTCAATTATATAATCGTTGGTCTTATTGATGAAGCATTTTTATTTTACTTATTAGATATCTTATCCTTAGAAATATTTTCTCTTAACTTTTTAATTTTTACTATATGGTTATCGAAAAGTATGAAAGATTAAAATTAAAAAAAACTAATTAATCCTCTATTTTTTATAAAAAAAATTAAAAACAGGGGGAGTACAAATAAATTGATGGCCAAACAAATTCTATACAGATAATTTTATTCACTTTAAAATAAAAATTGAAAATAAAAAATTCGGATTCGTGTAGCCCTAAATTATTTTATTATCAAGATCATATGATATTATTAATTATATATGACTTAAACTTTGTTTTCTTTTATAATAAAAAGGGGAAAAAACTGCGTTTTTCTTTGAAGATTGAATTATTTGTAAATTGCCCTTGTGGTTTGTTTGGATTGGAGGAAAATATGTGATGAATGAAAGTTAGGGGAAAATATAACTGAGAAGTGTTTAGTTCAACTAATCAAGAAAGTTGAATCAACTTATTTTAAAATCTTAAATTTAAATCTTCAAAGCCGTAATTACACTAAATAAATACACAAAAAATATTCTCAAGATGCCCTTGAAGCCACAATTAGTTTGGGCATATAGAAAAGACAACTACTTTTCATTTCATATTTGCATAAATGTAAAAACTTATGTAATTATTATAAAGTTTTAAAGATTGGGGATATTATTTATATATAACCTGAAGTCGAGGAAGTTATGTGTAATATGATCTTATCATCATTAATGTATGAAATATGAACATGCTTTGGATATGCGAATTGCCGAATTGCCATTTTTTTTTTCAGTTGCGCTGGCAAATCAAGAGTGGTGGAAACATTCGAATTAAAACTTTTTTCTGGCAAAAATATCCTATTGTAACTTTACTGTTGCTTCTTATTTTTGTTAATTTTTAAGAATAAAACACACAAAGGAAATTACAATGAGTTTGGCAATGCAAAAATAAAGGTTAAATTATGCACAAAGTGAAAGATAACTACATGGTCATCACCTAAGACAAGTTAAAGACCTGTAGCCCATGATAAGATAGTCTGAAAGTATATCTTCATACAACAAAGCTAGCAACCTTGAAGAAAAAGATAAAAGCACATGCATTTCACAATAAAATAAAAGGATCCACTCCATGGAAACAAGGAAAACTTTGTTCTTCATAGGGTAGGAAAAAAATGAAGATGTGCCATTGCGCTAAGCTATATAAAGGTGGCTATAGACACATACTCCTAGTGGTTTGGATGAAAACAATAAGGAAAAATTGGACAAAGTTAAGAATATTTGTAAATAGTAACATTTATTGTTAGTGCATTTATTATATATAAGACACATGTGTTTCACTGATTATACTTGCTCTCTTATATAAGGCAATGCACAATACCAATGATTGTTGTCTTGGTGTTCTCAATTTTTTTCACTCTAATATTTTTCTCGGTATCAAAGCACTAAACGCCAAAAATGGCTACCTCTGTAGAAAAATCTATCGGTGAAAATTCATCCATCTCAAACTCCTCTTTTTCTACTAACATCACGATCCTTATCCCACCATCTGCTTCTCTAGATTCCAATGCCTCCCTTTTTCATCCCTCTCTGATCACCTCTTTTTCCTTTTCCTTTCCTACTGCAAACCCTAATCCCTTTTGCTTCACTTCACCAACAGTCGCTGCTTTCTTTCAATCTTTCTCTCAACCTTTGTTCACTCCTTCATCGATTCCACGGATTTCTTTTTCTTATTGTCCATCTATTCAAACCTCATTTGCCTCTTTCTCTGTATCAGGTTCACACTTATCTTCCTTATTTTCATCTTCTCTCTTTGCTCAATCGTTCAATTTATACACCTTACTATGTTTCTCATCTGTCTCCGATTACTCATTATTTATCACATCCTAAAAATTTAAACCTAATTAACTAGGTTAATTAAGATAATTAAGTTTATTGATGTAGTATGTGGCCAGAGAGGTCTAATTTGTGCGATTGATTGTGATGTCAATTCTAACTGTGGATCCGAAGTAAAATGGGGTTACCTAGATGTGAAAAAGGGAGAAATTCTAAAGGAAGAGGTTATGTGCCCTTTGTCGCGGCTTGTGGCCCATCTACTATGGCGCATGTGTGTTAATCAGAGAAGGGCTAGCCTCTCTATGCCATACACCATGATGCATGGGCGACGCCACATATAAATCATGGAGGGAAAATGCACCCCTTGGACTAAAAAGAAATACAAGGAGGGTTCATATGTTTTAATACTTTGCACTCTTGAATTAAATATTTTGCACCCCTTAGCCCAACTTTAAAGATATTTGAGTTCCAAAAAATTTTATACTCTCTTGAAATTAGTGATGATATTAATAGTTGCTACAACAACAGTAGAAAGGGAATTTTCTTTTACAAAATTTGTGAAAAATTGGTTGTGAAATCATACGGGAAATCTATTGATAAATAATTATCTAATAACTTACATTAAAAAGGATATTTTTCTTAGCATCAATAATGAGATGATTGTTTAACGATTCCATAACATGAAGTCATGTGGGGTACAATTGTTTTTTAAATTATTAAGTTATTTTTAAATTATTAATCTTAAAAATGTTGCATCTCTTGGCCTAGGGTCCTGGCACCACCATTGCCATGATGCGTGGTACGTCCACTGCAGTGCACAGCCAAAATTGCTTATATATTAGTCATATTTCTGACATAAAATCAGAATGGGAGAATATAGAAAACAAAGAGCAAACGTGATTTCTCTGCTAAGGCTTGTGGCATTGGAGGTTTAAGAGTATTTTGGAGCTACATAATATCTAAGGTAACATTCCTAAGTTTATTTCTTTTGTTTCTCCTCCATTTTCTTGAAGAGATAAGTTAGGATTTGAGTTAAAATGGTAATTTTTGATTCATATAAGCTATGAGCTCGAACCCATTGACTTATAATTAATGGGAGTTGTTTGGATCATTTAAACCTAATATTAATAGTTTTGTGAGTCATTAGTTGGTGGAGACCATTAATACCTAAATTTAGCATTAAATATGGTGGTTGGATGAGTTGAAATGCCATTAATGATGACTTAATAGCTCATTGATAATAATGAGAGCTAAAGGAACCTAGGAAAACCTGATGGGTATAATGATAAATGGGGATTGCATTTTTGTGTGAGTTAGAAGGATGTATTAGTGTTGGAAAAATCTAAAAAAAAGGAATATCAATGAATGTCCTTGTGATTGGATTGTAAATTAATTAAACTCGACACCATTCAAGCTATTTGGCAAGCTTATGTTTTGAGGGGTAAACCTTTGATTTCTGTAAGATTTGAGATAACTAGGGAAAAACCTTATTTATATAGTTGTATATTAATTATTTGTTAGTTGAACTAAATCATTTGAAAATTTATTTAGGTGCTTGAGCTCCCATTGATGCAAATGTTAGCAATATGATAAATTGTGGTGTGATTTTTATGTGTAGGATTATTTAGGACAATATGCATGAAAACATGTCTTACCAATGATAGTGAATAAGTACATGTATTTATGAAATGAATAACTTGTGATATTGGGCATGAGGAGATATGTGTTGTGTAATGGAGAAAAATATGGTTATCGGTGAGACAATACATGATTATTGCTAGAATTGCTTAATATGTGTTAATACTTGCATGGCATGATCATGTGGTAGGAGTTCGCTTATAGAGAGAGGAGTAGATTGGTAAATCCATGTGGTAATGGCAACTTACTGTTGGAATCAAAACCTTGCCTAGGGCACCGACCATTAGAATTAGGAGATAGCCATTGTCCCACGGTTGATTCGAGACTGTCCTACTTATTCTTTGAAAGACTCGAACCTAAATAGTCTCTACTTTATGAGGAGGCTAGATTAGGGGTACGAAACCCCATGGTTGTTAGTATTAAGAAAAATTGCAAAACACAAGTGACTGAGTTAATCCTAGCCTGATAACTTCTCACAAGTGAAAGGCTAGGTTAATCTGAGTTATGGTTGTTATTATTATGTCTGGCATGTTTTAAGTAAGGGTGCACGGTTGTTGTTCTTGTGACCTTGTGATGTGCATAATTAAAATATATCTGATGACATGTGCTGCATGCCTAGTCACATAGTTGTTATTTTTATGATTGAGGCTATATTTAATATATATATATATATATGATAATTGAGTTTGTTGTCATTTGCATCCATAGTTAATTGATATACAACTGTATAGGTTAGGTTGACATTAGTTATTGAGTGATTGTATTCACCTCTCATTCTTTAATATTACAAGGCCTATCTCATCAAATCAAGATTGGGGAAAGCAAGGAGGCCTAAGATCGTGTGTAAATCCTACGCCTCTAGATTTACTTTATGTGTACTTTAATTGTTAAATTTTCAACTAGGATTTCATCCCATTCTTTTGACTACTTGCATTGTAGTTAAAAATATATTGTGTATTTTGTGCTTGAGCTATTGATGTGATTGTAAAGCTTAAATAGGCGTAAAATACTAATGCCAGTAGGATAAGGTGTATTAGGTTATCTTTTGTGAATATTTGTTGGTTAAAAAAATTGACTCCCCTTTATGTTTTTGTGAATCAAAGGGTTGAGGGTTGAAATTATAAAATATGTGTATTGGATTGATTGTGATATGTTGCATGGGTCCAAAATGATTCATTGAGTGAGGTCTAAGGGTTGGTATAGATTTTTTACTCACGTGTTATGATTTGGGCACCCTAGTTGTGTGTTGTTATGAAAAAGGAGTGATTTTTGTATAACATCTTAAAAATTTAAACTCGATTAACTAAGCTTAATAAGGGTAACTAAGCTTATTAAAGTAGTGTATAGCCAGAGAGGTTTTATTTGTGTAATGTGAGTCTAAAGTAAAGTTAGGCCATCCAGACATCAAAAGGTGAAAAAGAATTTAAGAAGGGACCTTTATGCCACATGCTAC